AGGACCCGGAGGCGGTGGTTCGAAAACTACAGGTTTCCTCTACTCGCATCACTGATGTTGGAACCAACAAAAGACACTCACTTCATCAGAAATGAAATCAGGCAAGCGAACTACCACCACGTGAGCAAAGCTAAACAGCAAGAACTAGACGCAAGATATCGGAAACTACCAGTTTACCGCGTTCTCCTTACTAACATTCGATATTGCACTTAAAAACAAATTTGCTGGCAAAGTGAGAGAAACTGAGTACCAAGTTCCTGTCGGTAAGCTGTCTTCTTTACCCTTTACTCCCTCCTTCATTCACATTATTTCTATGCTGAATGGCTTAAAACACCGGATCCGAAGCCCTAATCGTATGATGAGGTCTGTAGGCGGACAGGATCTAGTCCGTGCAGAAAAAATGGGCGCAGCACCGTCACACCGGAGCAGCATTTGTCAAAACCGGCAAACCCCTGTAGTAGGGGCCACAACAGCACTCCCTAGTCATACCGCTGGTGAAAAATAAGGCATAGGGAGACACGCTAAGTTTGACGTCACCTTGCGGAAAGTAAGCCACTTGGTCGTCAACAAAGAGCAAACTTCTGTGGTGTTTGCAAAGAATCGGTGTCAGCGGCTCAAAAAGCCTTTACATACAGGATCTATCTTAGATGGGTGCGCCGTAACTATGATAACGGTTTGCCAGGGAGGTACCACCGCTTTATGAGGAAGTATCCATGTAAACGGATGCGGTATAACAACCTGAGGAAATGGGTTGCGCTGCGAACGAGTGGACGGAAGCGAACAGAGTGTAGGGTAGACCGACGGCACTGGCTACCAAGCCCTGTACTTCGCACTCACAGGACAAGGAAACGGATCCTGTCATTCTATTCAGCGTCCCTATACTGACAGACACCCTTAGAAAAAAGAGGAACAGTCTGACAAGGAAAAGTGGAATGACCACTGCAGAAAGTTGGGAATAGAAACCATCACAGTCAAGTTATCTTGGCTCTCCCGAGGAAGTGGAGCAATTTGAGACAAGCCACTACCTCTCAGGGCATCAGCGTCAACGGCGAAACGGTCGGAGAACATAGTGCTGCTGTCGCGCCGACCAGACATTGCAGGCTCCTACCCTATGAGGGTGAAACTTAACAAACCTTGGGTCACCAAGGAGGTGGACAGGAAGGATTTGCTCAGTGATCTGCACAAACCTGTAACTAATATGGTGCATGGAATACCTGAGCTGGCTGGTGGATCACCAAAGTGTGATAATTACCCCCAAGATGTCAAGCAGTTGAGGTTCTTGACGGCAGAAATGGGACTTAAAGATTTGCTTGCCAGTAACATAGGTAGGCTACCAATACCTACGCACTAGCAGAGTATTTCCTCACCAGGATTGGTAGCTGCACGCTTTGACTGCAAAGCGTCACTAACAGAAGCCCTCACAGCATGATACCCAGTGAAAAACCACGTGGGAGGTGCTATACGATGCTGTGATAGTAAACCACGAGCTGCCAGACTAGAAGATAGGATGCAACCCCTGATAATGCCGAAGTCAGTACAAGTCAGAAAAGAACTAGGTAGCTAACTACTTGTGGGCACAATAAACAATACCGCCACACCAGCAGCAAGAAGTCAAGAGGGACCAAAAAAGTGAGGCCTGCCAGCCCAGTAGAGACTGGGAGCAACGGCACACAAGCCTCCAAACAAATCCCCATATCGCGCTAAGCCCAGAATATAGCTCCTTGACATGCTTCTACCGCAATGTAAGAGATCTCAAGAGTAAACTACCAGAGCTAAAAATAATGTGCCACAATATGCAACCAGACATAATTAGCCTCACGGAGACATGGCTGTCAGACATCGCGGATCAGGAAATATGTTTGCCTAACATGTTGCCGTTCCGAAGGGACAGACAGTTCAAAGAAGACCGGGGAGTCGCCATGTATATAAGCACTCATCTAAAAGTCAAGGAAGTGACTGGTGGTATTTTCAGCCGACCACTGGACTACTTATGGTGCTATTTCACCATAAACCAAACCAAGTATCTATTAGGAGTGGTGTACAGGCCTCCCCCTTGCACAACAGAGGAGAAAGAATGATTGCCCAGTGCCACCTCAACAACCACCTCGGCATTCGATGACGATGTAGTCCTAGCTGGAGGCCTCGAAACACCGGCACTCAACCCGAGATGTGAAGCAAGATATGAGCATAAATCTTTCGAACACCAACTTCGAAGTTTGTTTGTGGTGGCGGGACTGATAGAGAAGGTTAGTGAAAACATTAGATGGAAAGGGATCACCACCCGACTACGTTCTAACGGACGATGATCCCTTGGTGGACGATATCTGCGTCCAACCCCACTGGGTAGAAGTGACCACGCATCGGTGATATTCTCTCAGATAACCAAGGGGACACTACCAATGGTTGAACTAGAAGCCTTCTGCTGTTGCCGAAAAGCGGACTATCATCTCATGAACAACGAATTCCTGGAAGGTGCATGGTCACAAGAGTGAAACTCACCGTAGATGGACAAACACCAGATGCGTACAAAGATATTATTTAAAGCGCTATCGAAGCGTTCCGAAATCAACCAGACGACCACCTCCCAAACGGTCTTCGGCAACTCGCGCAACCCAAAGGCAAATAGAGAGGAAAAAGAAGGCATGGTACCGGTGGCGTACATCGCGCAAAGAACCAGACCCTCACAGCTACAAGGCGCTACGCAAATTATACAATATAAGAATTTGTAGCGGCAGGTATACATACCAAAGCAACCTGGCTAAACAGTTAAGTTGAAATCCGAAAAGTCTGCGCCGGATTATGTCACAACGCAAACCGACGGATAAGGGCTTAAACCTGAGCACAGAACAGGCCGGAGAATCTCCAGAAAGCAGTAAGATAGCGGAACTGTTGCGCAGCCAAGTTGACGAGCAACGCAACCCGGTAATGCATCCATCATCAAAATCTATCAATGTAACGAAGCCTCAGGCCGCGATACAAAGCTGATGAAAGTAAAGATTTAGTCTAACCAAGTGTTTGCGAAACTGCCAACACTGAGAATAGGGAAATCTCCAGGTTATTACGACATAAGATGGGTGGTTCTACGTAACTTTGCCAAAGTGATAAGCATACCCATATGCAACTCTGTTCACGCACTCGTTGGAAGTAAGTCAACTCCCCAAAGAATGGAAATGCGCTATCCTTTCATCAATCTTCAAGGGAGGAGACCGAAAAATCCCGTGCAACTACAGACCAACAGCATTACTTCCCATACTTTCCAAGGCAGCGGAAATCTGGGCTGCAGATGTAATTCGGGACTACTTGGACGGAAACAACATCGTTCATCCTACCCAACATGGTCTCAGAACCGGACGGTCATATGCCACAAACTTGATGACCACTTGTAATGACTGGACCACTAAATGGGATAACAAGCAACCAGTCCACGTTATTTTTCTGAACTTAGCCAAGGCCTCCAATAGCGTCCCACGCTGCACCATACTAGCCAAACTTGCAAAAGTGGGTATCACTGAACCACTCAAAGCATGGTTTGCAGCATACCTGGAGGGCAGTGAACTCTGTGATAAAGGAAACAGAATTCGATCAGCCTGGAGAAATGCAAGAACAGGAGTTTCCAAAGGATGGATCCTCGGGTCTACTCCTATTTTTGTTTTTCACAAATGACCTTCCTACTAAAATCTCCTCGTCTATCCTCCAATTTGCCGATGACATCAAAATATGAAGGACAATAGGTAAGGAAGGGGATCCAAGGATATTCCAAAACGGCCTGTTGCAGCTGGAGTCCTGGTCAGCTGCAAACGGTTTAAGCTTCAGCCTGGAGAAGTGCAAGGTGATGTATCTTCGCATATTAGGGGCGAGGGAAACCAGCTACACTCTTGACAATATGCAATCACCAAGGTATCCACAGAAAAGGACCTAGGACTAAACTTTTCTGACACATTGGATACTACTGACAATTATAAGGGAATGGCAGCAAAGGTGAAGGCCAGCATGCTTTTTTAGGAAAGCAGCTTGGAATTTTAACTCCACAATTATTCCAAACGATATTTAAGACCTATTTTAGACCACACCTAGAGGTGTTCAACACGATAGACCCCCACACTACTAAAGATGGACGCAAATGCCCTCTAGAAGGGGGACAAGGTCGGTTGTCGGACTGGCAAGCAAAACATATGAGCAACGCCTCGAACAACTCAACTTGTTCGCAATTAGATATCAAATGAAACGAGGTGACCTGATAACAGCCTACAAGATTATTCACCACCCAATAGGCCAGCGCTATCGGTTGAGAACCGACAGTCACGATAGGAACCCTACCAGCATGCCTCACCATTGAGCAAAGACGAGAGTGAGACCTAACTTCTTCTCCCACAGAGTGTGTGCCTTGTGAGACGGTCTGCTGAAGGAAGTGGCTGCAGCTACATCAGTCAACTCTTTCAAACCACTACTGGATGAGTATGCGAGCGCAAATGGCTTAACACGAAAATTTATCAGTAAAAACTCATGATACACCCTCCCACCCTTCCGTCTCCCCTCTTTATCATTACCATTAACACTTATCTTTCTGTAAGCACTTTCCACCCTCATTTTTCCTATTCCCCACTTACCCTATTTCTAGTACTTTTAAAGTAACCCTTGATGCTTACCCGCAGGTGCCTACAACCACAGGAATTGCGAACGGTTGATCGAACTTATCAACAAGTCCGTTGCCTCCAAAAGCAAACCAAGCTACAATTTCCGAATAGAGTACCCTCAACTAGACAATCACTACCTCAAAAGCTATAAGCAGGAAGATGCAAAGACGTTCGCGACCATCGAAGGAGTACAACTTAGCAGAAAGAACCAGGTCTCAGGATCCGGAGGCGGTGGTTCGAAAACTACAGGTTTCCTCTACTCGCACTATTAAAGTGAGCAAGGAGAAATCAACTGGTTTACACAAGCTCGTTAAACAAATATTGGATATTGGAAAGGAGTGCTTTCAAAACCTTTCGTTACGAGGCATGTACCGCTGTGAACTTTGTGGGTGCTCGTTTGAATCTGATAAGGTAAACTAGTAAATTTCTCTATTAAGTTGTTTACAATAGGAGAGTTATGAACATGACATAAGCGAAAAGCACCACAGAAAGTTTGAAGAGAGTGAGGCTAGATACGGACGTCAGGCGTTAGTGGGCATTGTTATTTATTTACTAGTTTAGGTCTCATTTCTGTGCAATATGCTATTGTAAAAATATTCAAGGCATTAATTCCTGGCTGAATCACACCCGCGGATCTCGCCATAAATCAAACCTAAAGTCATTCTATGAGTATTACGCAACGAGGTGAGCTATATTATTTTTAGTGTCTGTAGTTCGTCCAACCTCATGAGTTCTCGTGTCATCTTTTTCAAACTCATTCCGTGAAGTTAATACTCCTCGTTTTACGCATGCTTCCTGTTGTGATCAGGATGATCAGTTCTTGATGAGAATATCTTAAGGCATTCACATTAATTGAAGTGCAAGCTCTGCTAGGTCAGCTTTTACGTATTTTTGTGTGTGAGCCACTTAACTTCCCAGGTGGCATAATGTTTGTTGACTTGGTAGTTTTCTTACTGATCCTGTCTTCTGTCTTTATTTGACCTTGTGTTTGAGTTTCTTGCAAGCTCCTGTAATTACGCAAAAACTAGGCTATAGATATATCCTGTCCGCGAAATACCGGTTAGCATGAATCCTTACGATATGGTAATAGGAAGTCACCTATTTAAGTCCTGTTATCAAGATGGCAAATTTTAGTGCCAGCTGGACTATATGTATGCCACAAACGTATGATTGTCCTGATCAAAAACTGCTAATAGATTTGTGCTGAACTGTTGTAAAATATATGGTGCATAGAATACATATATAAACTGGCTATGCCAACACTGATTGTGTAAGCGGAAAAATTACGGATAATATCAGTAGTTTTACAAAGCAGGAAAAGAGATGAACAGAATAACTGCGTAGGATGACTTAAACAGTTTTCGTTGCAGATGAAAATCATTTGGAAAAAATCGAAAACTTGGAGTACTAAACCAGGTCCTTATCTCAGACTAGTACGAGTCATTCAAATCTTATCAGTTTTTAATGAAATCTGTCCTAAAACTAGTAGACCCCCACAAGATGTACTCACTAGTGACTTCTTTCAAGCTGGATTTCCAAGGGTTTCAATGAGGAACGGCAACCTGTGAAAACAAGTTGACTGGGAGGTAGTTGTCTTCGGATAATGTTAGTTAACGGCCATGCTGTATCATGAACTAAATAAAGTATCAAGAAGCAGAGTTTCGAATTCCAACCTGGTCACTGAGTGGGACACATTCACCATAAAATCTAGCAGTTTTGGACTTAATCCTTCCTAACTTCGCAGGTTTTCTCTGGTGAGGAGTCCCGAATCTAAACGAAACAACTCTTCGCCACATCCAGACTTCCAGTCCTCACCCATCATATCAATCCGTGGTGAAAAATGCTATAAAGCCAATCTCTACGAGCTCCATTTCGGATATGGTATGACTTAGGTGAAGTTGTGGCATTTGCGCTATTACAATTGAAGGTATCTATTATCCAAAAGAATTACTGCATGCTATTGACTCTCAACATTCATGTCACAGACTTGCAGCGGAAGATATTTGACCGTTAAGTGATGTACTCACCCTTTGGCAAAAATTCCCTTATATTCGTCTGAAAAGTGGCTCTGGTTTGTGAGAGGCTAATGCCCCTTTTGTCTCTAGATTTAACCATTGGCAACATTTCTAAAAATCCAATTTCTTCACTTTACATAATTAATATTTCGTTTTATCATGATTCATTTCATGTTCCAGACCGCTGGCTTCTGCTTTGACATAATGCTTCCGTTTAATACTACAATGACTCAACAATTTATGCTGTCTAGGATGATTGTTTCTCAAGGTCCTGCTGTACCAGAAAGGTTTGCTTAATACCGGTAAACTAAGGCCAGTTAGGATTATAGTGTAGACTCACGCTACGGTGGAAGTTCGAGGGTGAATTCGTAATGGTGGTTGGATAAATGTCAGTAGTGAGCTGCTTCATCATCATTATCAACATAGGACCAGGCATTACTGCGTAACGGTCCGAGTTGCCACACCTCATATCAGCACATCAAGTAAAAAGGTAGTGAGGTGAAGGATGAAGATAAGTGAATGCAGTCAAAAGAAATATAAAGTACGAGAAGAAAGGAAAGAGGAGTGACAAAATAGTGAGATTCGGTATAGCGTTGTTAAGATGAGGATAATGTGTGTATACATCTGCGCCACTGACTTCGGTTCTGAGCCATATCACCTAGGGTCTCCAACCACTGGTTCCTCTTGTCCCGTGGACCCCAACCACCTAGTCTGCATCGTCCTACATGGCTTAAACCAACAGTCAGAGACTTCATACATTGGTGCCATGTTTTAGTCTGGCCACCTCGGGCCTTTTTCCAGCCTGAACCCACCTCAGCCAACATTGTGTGACGAGGCAATCGGTGACTAGGCATACGTAGTACGTGTCCCAACCATCTCAGTCGATGAAGGTTCACAACCTCGTCGACTGACTTACCTCTTCTCCCTAAAACTCTACACCTAACTTCTGCATTACTCACATGGTGACACCACGGAATACGTCCTATACTACGAAGGCAACGGTGGTCAAACACCTGAAGCCTTTTTGTATCTTCCACTTTCAATGGCCATGTTTCACAGCCATACAGTAGAACAGAGCGGACTGCTGTGCAGTACACGCGACCCTTAATAGACAAACGAATATCACGGCGGCGCCATAGGTGGCGCAAATTGGCAAAAGCCAATCGAGCCTTTTGTATCCGTGCAGAAATCTCATCGGCAACTAACCCACCGGGTTGATCCTACTTCCCAGGTAAGTGAAGTGGTCAACACACTCAACCACTTCACTCTCTATTGTTAACCGCGGTACCGCTGAAGACCAGTCCTGGAGCAAAAATTTGCATTTGGGTGGTGAAAATCGCATCCCAAACATTCTCAAATTCCCACTCAAAGTGTTCAGAAGACTCTGCATCTTGTCAGCGTCTTCACCTAACAGGACTATGTCATCTGCATATTCTAGATCTAAAGAAAATTCACCTGTGATCGGTCAACGTCTTTGTAATTAGGTGACGAGAGGGAAACCTCCATAAGAATATCTATGATAAAATTAAATAAGAATGGGGATAGTGGGCATCCTTGACGGACACCACTTGATGAGTATAGCTCCCTGGACAACTCACCATAGGCTCTAACATGCCCACAAGTGTTCGAGTAGAGAGCTTTCAATAAGGTGATGTACTTACTAGGCACGCCTTTCAGTGACAGACACTGCCATAAGACTTCTCGATCAACGGAGTCAAATGCCGCCTTCAGGTCGAGAAATACAGCTATTGTCGGGCGTCTGTAAGCATGCCTATGTTCCAGGACCTGGCGCAGTGTGAATATTTGGTCGATACATCCACGGCCAGGTCTAAAGCCTGCCTGGTTTTCTCGGGCTTGCTGTTCCCGAGCTCCACTCAGGCGTCGGAGAATTATAGAACTTAGGATCTTAGACACTATGTTTGTCAGGCTGATTCCTCTGTGGTTATCACAAGAGGACTTCTCGCCTTTCTTGAAGACTGGGATGATGAGTGACTTAGACCAGTCGGAGGGGATCGTATTTGATTCCCATATACTGGCTAACACTTCCGTTAGCCTGACTAAGAGAACTCTACCACCATTCTTGTATACCTCAGCAGGTAGTCCGTCTGGTCCTGCTGCCCTTCCCCGTTTCAGGCTACCTACCGCTTTCTCAACTTCTTCTAGTGTTGGGGGACCTGTCTCTATGTCCCATTCAGGGTCCGACTGGATAGCGGGCAGCGCAATGGTGGCTGGAGGCCAGTTAAACTGTTCCTCAAAGTGTTCTGCCCATCGTCCCAGTCGCCTTCCCTGCGAGTGAATCGCGATCCGTCCTTCTCCGCTATAACCTCACTAACTGTTGTTGACCATTTCCCCCCAGTCTCCTTAATAAGTCTAAATAACTGTCTACTGTTACCGATCGCCGCTGCCTTTTCCATCTCTTTAGCCTTTGCTGCCCACCACTGTTCACGATCGTTGCGCAGACTTTTCGTCAGTTTATTTTTAAGTTGCGCTCGCTCTTCATTGTACTCAGAGCCTGCAGGGATGCATTCACGTGCATCCATTAGTTTGGAAGAAGCTGCTGATATCCACTGGCTCTTTTTAGCCATTATCTTGGAGTCGGCTACAGTCTCCAGTGCTGCTTTTACAGTAGACTGAAGATGGCACCAAGCTTCTTCTGGATGAGTGACAGTCTTTTGTTCCGATAACTGCCTAGCCAACTTCTCACTGAACACGGCTTTGGTGTTTTCGTTGTCCAGCAGAACTCGTAGTGGTTTTGTTGCCAAATTTTTTCTACGTCCATTGAGACGCAGGCATATACGTGCTCGGACCAACGCATGATCGCTGTCCAAACACGTACTCCAGAAGGAGCGGCAGTCTTCCACCGATCCTCTCCAGCGATGACTAATAGCAATGTGGTCTATCTGTGTCCATCGCTGAGTCGAGCTCGGTGGACGCCAGGTCAGACAGTGCCTTTCTTTATGTCTGAAATTTGTGCTGGCTAAAAATAGGCGGTTATCTGAGCATAGTTGTAATAGGCGATCACCGTTATCTGTACGTTCAGCTGGGATTCCGAAAGTGCCACCTAAGTGCCTTTCTGCCTCACTCAGTCTACCCACCTGTGCGTTGAGGTCACCTGCAACAACCACTACGTCCGAACGTTTGGCTTTCGAGAGGAGGTTAGACAGTTTATGGTAGAACTCGTCCTTCACTTCATCCGAACTACAGTCAGTGGGTGCGTAAGCAGAGATTACAAAGAGACAACGGCGAGTCTCACTATTCCTTTTAGTTCTCACTGTGCCGTTCAGCCTCATAGCGCAGAGGCGACTATCAACTGGGATCCAGTCTAGTAGTGAGTTTTCTGCCCTGGTGCTTAATGCTATACCTACACCTGCAAGACCACGAGAGCTAGCTATCGAATCTCCAGAAACTCGAAGGGTGAATTTTGCAGATTCACCAGATTGGTCAGGAGAGGTCAGGTGAATAACCACACTTGGGTCCTGTATGCGTGTCTCACAAACACAGCACACATCCATGCCCGAGTTGCTAGAGTCTTTGCCAACGAAGCCTGTTGGCCAATTTGACGGAGGGTGCGGACATTGAAGGCTCCAATATGTAATTTGGAGCGTGGTTTAAGGAGACCAGGGATGCTGTTCTGTGGACTCAGATCGTTGTCGAAGGCTGCAGAGGTAG